ATATAATATATAATATTTCAATTCAAAGATCTTAGCAGGCCAAGTTACACATAAGATCCATTAAACTGGTGAGTTTGGGGAAGTTTCTGCCTCCCAGATCTGCTGTTTGGATGTGAAATGTTTCCCACCCTCATCGATCTTTTGCTCCAAAGGTTCTCGGGGTCACACCATGAGTTTCTCTGTTTTTATGCCCATAGCAGATGATGCAGAGGTATTCCTCTCAGCATGAGATGGTGCATTGTAATGCATGAAGATGATTTTTAGTCTTCGTTCATTTCTGAAGCCACTGCAGCTGTTTCTGCTTGTGATCACTGGTTAGGGGTGGCTGAATAGAAAGTTTCTACATAACTAACAGCATCTGGAGGCTCCTACACCTCRATGTTCATGGGACTCCAGAGGCAGCAGCTTCAAATATTTGTTTGGTGCTTTTTAATGGCGTTTTAGCAGCTGCTCTCTTAATCCGATGTATGGCAGAAGCCTTGCTTGTTGTGCCTTTATCTGCCATAATGTCTTAACATTAAGATGATCACGCTTAAAGTGCCTGTGAGGTCAAATTTTCATAATACATATGAATGCATCTTTAGAAAGAGGACATTGATAAAATATTGCAAAAGAAATTTCATGTTGCTGAGATGAGCAGTTGTTGAGATATTTGCCTGTGAAGTAACAGGAAGTGATGTCAAAGGGGAATGTCTGAATGTCAACAGAGAGTTGCTACAACAGCTAACACAGACTGTAGAGAAGAATCTGATGTTTGTTACGATTATTTTGAGTCACTATCAGAGATGAAGAAGAGAGTTCAAATAATATTGTTTCATTAAACAAAGACCAGAGAGTTTTCTTTGTTAAAGAGTTCCCCTTTGATGTCACTTCCTGTTTCACTTTGGTTGAGCCAAGTTCAAAAGAAAATATGCCAGTTATGGAACAAAATGGGTTAAATCGTGCATATTATTCCAACTTTCTTAAATATAAAGATGTTTTCTTTGACTTTTTGAATTTGAAGAATATGCATGTCACAGGTACTTTAAGTTTTTGTGAAATGTCTAATTTTTTTCATGCATTGTCCAAGGTATTAAACTATTTTATGTTTATTTGTCGGCAGAGGGAACCCTTTTTATTTCCCATATTGTTTGAAAATGGTGGTCTGCTTAATAATGAATGCCCTCCTTTTGTAGTTTTTCCTTTAAYTGGGCTCACCTGCAAAACTAATCTCTGCAGGTGTCTGAGATTTGTTTCATTGACCCAAAGACATAACATCATCTATGAGTTTAATAAAAATAAAATATAATAATAATCTCTATGACACCTAAATGTGATTTTCACAACACTCTGTAAGGCGGTGTAAGAGGGGTTTGGTTTTGGTAAGACAATTTGTAATTGGATTCACACTGTGGTTTTCCTTTTTATATACAGTTTCGTAGTTTGTTGTGGCCTTCCATTTTTCAAATTTTTTTTTACTTAAAGACAAAGAAAAAGAAAAAAACAAGGCTGTGGATGTAAAGTGTGACTCAATATTTAATTAGAGCTGGGCAAAGTGTTGCTTAACTTTTTCAACAAATGCTCATATCAGTTC